TGCAAAACACCACAAAAAAAGGACTTTGTTCAAATTGCCTGCTTTCAGATCTAAGATTGTATCATTTTGAAATTAAGGGAAAGATGGTCTAAAACTATGAGTTTTAAAGCTAGGCGCCATCATTTCACCTCTGTATCCACCATCTCCAACCCTCCCTTTCCCTATGGTAAGACGCCTTTCTTAAGGAAGCCACCACTCCTTCTTCAAACCATGGCTCTAGCCCACCCAGTGTGGCTCAGTGGTTGAGCATTGACCCATGCACCACAAGGTTGCCGGTTCGATTCCTGGTCAGGGCACATGCCCAGGTTGTGGGCCCGATCCCCAGGGGGCATGCAGAGGGTGACCAATCAATGTTCTCTCTCATCGATGTTTCTGTCTCTCTTTCCCTTTCCCTTACTCTCTCACTAAAACCAATAAAGAAAAAGAAAATTTTTTTAAAACATGGCTCTAAACTAGTCAAGATCATATTCTAAGGAAATAATTGGTTTAAGAGTGGGGGCTTCAATATTTATGAACATTTTAATTTTTAAGACCAGTACTATAAAGGTTAACTCTTTCCTTCTATATTCCTTCCCTGAAATTGGTGCAGGCAAAACCGTAAATGAATGACAAGGAAATAATTTTACCTTCACGTTAAGATAGCATGTGATCCAAATGCTTATGTTTTTCTTTTTTGTAAATATAATCTAATGTTAAAGTCACAGCTACCTTGTTTAGTTTACTCTAAGAAATAAAAAAAGAAAGTGACTCTAAGAAGTTCAAATTAAAATTGAATCAGATTAGTACTTCATAATTAATTTCAAAGCAAGTAACTCATTTATTTTCTTGTTTTAATAACAAGTAAAGTTTTCTCAAAGAAGTTTAATGTTCTAGTTTCTGCTTAGCATTGGCTATGCTCTCCTAGAGCCTTCTCAAGGTCCTTTGCACAGGAACGGCATAGTGTCCCCATAATTTCTCATGAAATTCTAATGGTATTCAGTAGAAGCGATTAAATAGTAATGTTCTAAGCTGCTTTTGCCTTGAAAATGTTTAACATTGTCACACAAGGTGTCACTGGAAGTTATGCCTCACCTTGACTCAAAGCAAGACGTACCTCTTCCCACACACACGAGAAAAGGAATCTGATTCCCCTCTTACATAACTTATCGGATATGCCATAGGTGTCTCAAACTCAGTATGTCACAAAGTTAAGTCATCATCCTTTACCCCAGATCTGTTCCTTTGTACTGAATATCACCACTGTCCACTGTGATGTCTACATTAGGAACCTGCACATCATCCTTGATGTTCTTTTCCTCAAGCCACACATCCAATTAGTCCTAAACGTCCTGCCTCCAATTTTCTTCCAAATCCTGTACTTCCCTTTTCAATTTATTATTGTATGGATTACTATGCTACTACACTAGGTGACGGTGGTGGTAAAACAAGTAGCTAAGGATTATTGTCTTGTCATCACCTCTTAACTGATGGTCATACTTCTGATCTTGAGTAAAAAAAAAAAAAACATGATTTATTATGAAAGACTTTAGTCCTTTATACCCTGCTTTATTGTAGAAATTCAATTTACTTGGACAGGTCCAGCATTTAAAAGAGGAATGACTTCAAGAACCAATCAAAATTGGTTCTGTCTTATGAAGCTGTTCTTGATCTGGATTTCTCTTTTCTTTTCAGCTTCATCACTCATTTCTTCCCACGTCGCTGCAGCAGCCTGCCCGAGGCCTTCTGAACCTGCTCCTGCCACGAACCAGTAAAAACAACCACTTTAGGTCTTTTAAATTAAATTTTTTTTTATCCTCATCTGAGGACATTTTTCCATTTTTTCTTCAAATAGAATGGGAAGAAGAGAGAGAGAGAGAAAAAAAAAAAAAAACATCGACATGAAAAGGATACATCGAGTGGTTGCCACCCGCACAACCCAACCAGGACTGGGGACAAATTGCAACCAAAGTACGTGCCCTTAGCGGGAACCGAACCCGGGTCTCTCTGGACCACAGGCTGACGCTCTAACCACTTAGCAAACCGGCCAGGGCTCACTTAAGGTCTTTTAAGAGTAACATGTTCCATATTTTAGAGAGCACGCTTTCTGTTAAGTATAGTCTCTGTTTTCAAAAACAGTATGACCTTTTCAATTTAAAAAAATGTCTGAAGTTTGTATTGTAATTTGACATTATGTATTAAGACACCTAAAAACTTTCCCACACTTTAACCCAGTAAAATTGTTTCTAGAAAACTAGCCCAACCCTGGCCGGTGCTCAGTGGTTAGAACATCAGCCTGCAGACCAATAAGTTGTATGTTTGATTCTGGCCGAGAGCATGTACCTCAGTTGTGGTTCGTCCCTGGCCCTGGTCAGGGTCATGTGGGAGGCAACCAGTCGATGTGTTCCTCTTGCGTTGATGTTTCTCTCTCTCTCTCCTTTTCTCTTTCTCTCTCCCTCCCACTCTACCTGAAGATAAATAGAAAAATGTCCTTAGATGAGGATTAAAAATAATAATAAAAAAAAAACATTTAAAAAATAATAAAAAAGAAAAGTAACCTATAAATATAATCCAAGCATAGGCGAAGCTTTATGTACATATATTAATTCCAGCATTGTTGATAAAGGTGTTTTTTCTTTTAATTGTGGGTTCATGGTCAAAAATTAAAGAAAGATTGCTTATAACTGATCTGAGACAAATGTTACCAAAAGGGGAGGACTAGTTAAGTGAGCAATGTGTCTATTAATGTAACCAAACATTTTTGTTTACAAAGCTCATAATGGCAGGTTAAAACACTTGTAACATTATCTATAAAAGGGGTAGAAAATGCATTATACAGAAATTGTATATAATTCTATAATATAAATATTTAAAATTGACTAATAAAACTAAAGCATGCTAAGGCCCCACCCCAGGTCTCAAATACTGATAGAGATGATGACATTCAATATTCCTTGCCAAGTGTTCTCAAGCGGGGCTGGTAGTTGTCCTTTAAGCTCATTCTGAGCTTGGTATTGAGAAATGCCAATAAGAAAGAGATGTTTTCCCTATTGCTTCAACTCTACTCAGCAAATGCTATAACTCTCCCTAACTCAGCCACCCCCAAATCACAGGTTCCCACCACCTGTGTGACCTATTCTTGGGCAAAGCTACACAGAGGAGTCAAAGAACTCAAACACAACCATCCCTGGGCCCTGGGAGGAGCAGCACTGTCTTGACTGTGAAATAACATTCCAGGAATTTTTTGTCAGCTACTGGCTAAACATAGCAGGTGGCTGCAGAAAACCTGTCTCTTGCATTTGGGCAAACATAAAGTAGCACTTAGGGTTCTTTGTAAACCACAGAAACCAATGTGTCTAACTTAATCAAATCACAGTTGATTGGAAATGGAGTCCTTTACAGAAGGAAAAACTAATCCTGCCTCCTGGAGGATAAGAACCAAGGAGGCACTGAATTTTCCACCAGAGCCCCATGGGCAATTCTTTTTTGGGGGTACTGCCATCTAATGACTCAGCTCTCACCATGACCAGTCTTGAGTCCTCCACTCAGATTAAAATTCCTGAGGAGAAAAAGTGAAGGATTGTCTTTGACCATGTGCTAATCTCCTTGGCTAGAAGAAAAGAGATACCCTGATTAATTGCCCTGCCAGGATCTCATGTAATAGATGGAATTTATTCCCCAAAGGTAAGATGACCACATGTTGGGGTTTGCCCTAGACAGTTCCCATTTATAACTGTTTTTCAGGAATAACTATAAATAGCATCACTTTTACTCACAAAAGTGTCCAAGTTTGGATAATAAATTGCATTATCACTCTACACAAAGGAAAAATAGGGCATTGTTCCCAAAGAGGGGGAAGTGATGCTGAGCAGATGAAAATAGCCACCATTACAATGAGACTATTAGCAGGGGTCAAAACAAAGTGTTTTGCTCCCAATCTTTCAGGTCAAAAGATAAGAATCAGAGTCAAAAGCCCTTATCAGTCTTTTGCTTTTGACTCCAACATGAAAATAACATTTCTCTCCTCACTCCCTGTGTGTTGAATTATTATGACTTTGACCCAATAGTTCCATTGCCTTGTCTTTGTATGTCCTTGTAGCTAAACCCCTGAATGTTAAAGTGTTCGCTTTCACTGCTGCTTTTTTAGCTTAATTGGTGCCCTCCTGCTTTCCAAAATAGAATGCTAACATCCACTCACCCAGTTGGAGGGTCAGGGTGATACCAGATCCAATATTCCCCAAAGCACGTGTAGGATGGTTGCCGCACCCCTGCTGCTGACTGGCAATAAGGAGTCAAATGGCGCCTTTTGATTCTGATTTCCTCCGAGAGGCTGCTCTACAAGCATGGGGTCAACTTAAAGGAAGGGAGATTTTGTTTAATATTTTCTCCTTTCATTAGTGTACTTAAATTACTTTCTTGCAAACTCTGCTTGTTACCTCAATGTACTGGCACTTTTGTTACCTAATTAGCTTTCTTATCAGAATTCCAACCAAAAATAACAAGAAATGTAATAATGATAAGGTAGCCTGACCCCTCAAAACAGATTTTCACTCTTTATCTCTTGGTACTGTTCTGGCTTGTTTAATTAAAGTATCAGAAATTATTAGACCCAAATTATTTCTTGATCTAGTGCTCAGATTCTCCTGAAAAGCTGCTGCCTCTGCCTCAGTATTTAAACCTTTATCAGTGTGAGGCAGATGCATTTCCACATGTATGCAACTGGATTCAGGTAATTCGATATAATTTTGGAGGAAGAGCCCAATTTAGCCTCTGAGTAATTATACAAACAAATCAGATTTGCTACCGTGGGCCACCGTGAACATTAAGTACTTGTGTCTCCTCTCCTATGCGCCTAGATCATCAAAATGAACAACATTAGTGTGCAAAAAAACCCCATGAAACTCTAGCATGGAGTTGTGAAATTCAAAGCCAAGATCTCATTTATTTTTTCATGAGAGGGGTAGGGGTAAAAAAAATCACCAAGTTCAAACCACTAACGTAAGTTGTATTCAAGGAGGCTAGTCATGTTTGTCGTAGACTTCAAAATAACTGAAGAGAAAGTACCCTTAAATCACAGCTTTGAGGAAAAAAATCTAAGACATAGTGGTTACTTCTCTTCATCATATGCTGTGAAAAAAATTCGGGTTGGAATCTATATGCTTCTAGTGGAGATGTGTGAAAGGTTCACTTTCTTTGAAGTCGTCTGCAACATGATCCCCTTTTGCACGGTCAAGCTTGGCTATCCCAACTACCAGGCTGCCATTCTCAACTTGTGTTTTATTGGAATTTCAATACTTACCCCTGTGTTTGCGGGATGGTGTGCTGATGTCTGTCTAGGAAGGAACAAACTGGTCTATATTTGCTTATTTCTGCATTTTCTAGGTGAGTGTTCTCTTCCGACTGAATTGTTTTGCAACTTAGTTGAATGGATTGTCGTTAGAATTTTTAGTTTATATTATTTCTACCTTGCTCTTAGGGTAAAGTGCAATCAGTGAACTAAGACTATTGTTTTAATTTATTTCATTTTCTGTATTATTTGTGCGATGCTAATAATTGTGTGTGGGTTGGAGGAAGCTTTGATGCCTATATAGTTGCCCTGATTATGTCTTACAGTAATTACCTTTACATTTCTGTCTTGAACTCCTTTGAATGCCTCCCATCTGCTACCCCAAGTCTAGATTCATGACAAGTGCTATGTGAAACATGAAGTTTAATTGATAACTAAGATGAAATGTGTTAAAAAAGGTTTTTGATGTTTATGTAGAGTAATTGAGGAATGTTTTCATCAAATGGTCTTTTAATTAAGTAATATAGTCATATAGTAATTAAGATTACATATGAAGACATGTTTTTTATATCATGAAATAAGGCTGCATCCCCCCCCCCAAAAAAAAAAAACACAAAAAAAAAGAGAATGAATTCAAGCACTACACTGGGCCTCTTTACATAGAGAAAAATAAATATAAATTTGGGAGTAACATGATTGTGAGAAATGGGGAAATATCAAGATTGTTTGAGGTATAAACAGCAAGTTGATAAACAACCTAGAATTGTAGGCTGCAAAGTTCAAGTTGTTCTTCTAGACAACAAGGAGTCACTGATGATACAAGGAAAACATTTGGGAAATGCTTTTCTTCAATAAACAAGTGGGCAACCACAGTGAGAGGTAAAATAGAGACCAGAAAATCTCAGGATGATGTCTATGGAATGAATTATTGTTAATCCAGAAGAAAATGTGAAAAAAAAAAAGCCATAAAATCTAGGCAACTAAATTAGGACATAGATATGATGGAGGAACAAAAATCAGCTCCAAGCTTCTGAGCTGAGGCACTTAGGAAGGTGGCGTGTATGCTGTTCACCAATGCGGAGAAGTGCAGCAGAAATGCAGGCTGGGAGGCACGGGGGAGAGATGAATGAGGAAGGATGAGTCTCAGATATACAACATATCACGCAGTTTCAGGCCGGTGGTAAATTACCACTCACCGAATGGATTAGAGTGTGATACAAACTTGTAAGCTTCTTTACTGCTTCAGTCTATGAAATAAACACTAAGTCACTGCATGACAGATATCCATTCAACATTCAACAAATATTTCTCGTTGACTGCTTCTTCCCGGGCATTGTGCTAGAATCTGGAAATGCAGCAAAGAAAGAAGTCTCTTCTCTGCCCAAGTTGACTTTCTCGTGCACGGAGAGAGAAAGTAGAGAGATACTGTGTCAGGTGTTAATGAGAGTCATGTTGAAACATATGCTGAGTAAAGGGACAGGACAGACCAGGTAGTCATAGGTTGCTGTTCTGTACCAGGTAATGTTTTCTGATAAAGAGACATTTAAGCGAGAGCCTGAATGATTTACTCTTAACTTGGTATCAAGCCACATCAGTAGCATTTGGTAACTTCACAACATGGTAATTTCTATTAGTCTAAATCCTTGTGCAAATCATCAGACTAGGATTAAACTTCAAATTTTGTAATCTGGTAAACAAAACACCTAAGTCAAACTCCATGTTCATTCTTTTTTTAACTAAAAATTATTTCCTTGTGTCCCCCACTCATGGCTGCCATCAATTTCCAACCAGTCACTCAGTATCAGAGTTTCTATCAAAGATGTGTCTTCTGTCTGAATTGCTAAAACCTTAGCTCAGAAAGGCAGCTTTCTTTTACTTGCCCATCACAATGGCCTGTTTACTGGGCTCAGCCGTCAATGTGACTCTAATCCATATACCTTTCCACCAACAACATTGACTATGTATCATATGTATCTTCTTTCTTTCTTTCTCTCTTTCTTTCTTTCTGAGAGAGAGAGGAAAGGAGAGGGAGAGAGATAGAAACATCGATGAGAGAGAACATTGATTGGCCGCCTCCTGCATGCCTCCCACAGCCTGGCCCAGAGCCTGGGCATGTGTCCTGACCAGGAATCAAACCGGCGACCTTTTGATGCATGGGTCAATGCTCAACCACTGAGCCACACCAGCTGGGCAACATTGACTACACATTGCCTCTATTATCTAAAAACTAAAATCCCATTTTGTATATAAGAATCTTTTTTTTTTATCCTCACCCAAGGACATTTTTCCACTTTTTTTTTTTTTTTTTTTATTCAGATAGAGCGGGGGCTGGGGGGGAGACAGAGAGAGAACTATCGACTCAAAAGGGACACATTGAGTGGCTGCAACCCAACCAGGGCCGGGGACAAACCACAACCGAGGTACATGCCCTTAGCAGGAACCGAACCCCGGTCTCTCTGGACCGCAGGCTGACGCTCTAACCGCTGAGCCAAACCGGCCAGGGCAGTATATAAGAATCTTTACAGTGTCCTGAACTTACCTCTCCAGACTGCCATCTCAATACACAGCCACAACCATGCTAAGCTCCCCCTTGCCTATTTCCCTGCTTTTCTAATCGCTCACATACTCTGTCCTACGCCTGAAATCGTCAGTCTCCCTTTAACTTTCCACCCGTATCCAAGACTTGACATTCCTGCTCTTCATCAGGCCTATTGAGTGTTTATCGTTCACTTCTCTGTGCTCAACCACACTCTGATCATACCTGTATGATCACGTTTATCACCTCACAGGACAGTTGTCCACCTGCATGTCCGCCCTGTCTTGGACTCATTAGCTCCTCAAGAGAAGAGCCAGTGCCCACCCCCACCTAGCAGGGGAGATGACACATCCTGGTGCTTCACACAAAGCTACCCAGTCCAGGTGTGCTGAGTCTGCAGTACACAGTAGCTCATACGTGGTAGACTTATTATCACAGGTGTCATAGATGTGTGTTTCCGTTACATCAATTTTGTAGCAGCTAGAAATAAAGTTGTGATCTAATAAAATCACTATGGTATGACATGTTCTCAAAAGATGGAAGTCCCTTTCTCACACAAAAGTACAACTAAAACTTCTTTGTATTTAAATAAATAGTTGCTGCAAGAAGTAATTCCTCTGCCCGTCCTCTTTCGCTAACCTTTGCCTGGCCCGGCCTCACTTCCCCTTCCAGAGATGCGCACTGAGGGGCAGAGCGAGGGCAGAGGATTTCATGTCTGGCTAACCTTAATAGGAAGTATTTCAAACTCAATAGTTAAAAGGGCCTGCCCTCATGATAAATCAATGTTACCAAATACGACTGTGGGCGTGTATTCCTCACATGGTGAGAGCCACAGAATCCTTAGAACCGTTTTCTGCCTTTAAGGAGCTGGTCGTCTAATTGAGAAACCTAACCATATGAAATGTATGCCAAAAATATGAATACTAAAATCATAAAATACTAAAATTAACATGCAGAAGCCTTTTTTTTTTTTTGCTAATCAAATTGATTTTTTTAAATACATGATTTGACTACTGGACAACAGGACTTCCAAGAAAAGGGAGACTACACCTGAGTTTACTTGGTAGCCTTGACTGAGTCACTTCACCTCATTGACCCTTTCCTTTTTTAATTCCTTTCCGCAAAATTGGAATGAAAAAAATCCATCCTCTGACAGCACAAAGTTTTTTGAAGAGGAAACGACATATTACATAGAAATGTTTTTGCAGGTTATAAGGAGATTATCAAAAGTATGGCGATGAATTGTGATTTCTATTAGACAAGGAACGTCTTCAAGTGCGCCCCTGTGAGGAAGGTTCAACCCTCCCTCGTCAGTGTCTCTCTGTCCTCCCCTTCTTCGGCTCCAGCGCGTCACCCAGCTCACACCCTGTGTCCAGCCTGCTCACCCCTGTGTGCAGCGAAGGAGGCGCCACCCACCGCATGAGAAATGAGAGAAAGAGGGCACTGAAAAGAGAAAGAGAAGTAGGAACGGAATAGAGAGGCTGTGTTCCTCTCTAACTACAGTAATGTTATTAAGACATTTTACTTAACCGGCTTCTCAGATGTCTGAGATCATGCTGTTTTTAATCACTCTATTGATTAAGAAAAAAATAGCCCTTGTTAGTAGTGGTTTTTCTGGGGATAAGAATACAGGCATCTTTCGTTCCTTACATGATATGTTTCTGAATTATTTTAATTTTGTTAAAATGGGCATGATTTGCTTATACGATCTTGGTGGGGGGGTGATAGTTCAAGCTTAAGGGGGAAAATGAAGACTCTAGATTAGTTAAAATACCTATTAAGAGAAATTTTCACATTTAGAAAAATCACGCTCTCTCCGGAATGGCAATGGTTAACATATTTTAATAAGACAATTACATCAGTATGCTACTTTGAGAGGAAAAACCTTATTTATGCTGTGATTTGGTGATTCACCCGGTTTATGACACATTTCTTCTCTGTCCACTCGCCCCCACCCCCGTCTACAGGCACTGCTTTGCTGTCGATGGTGGCTTTTCCTTTGGAAGATTTCTATATAGGTAGTCGCCATGTGATCAACAGCATACCAAAGAAGGTGCAGAGCAGGCTGTTTTACCTGGCACTGGTGGCCACCTGCCTGGGCACAGGAGGAGTAAGAGCCATCGTTTGTCCACTGGGTGCTCACAGCCTCCAGGAGCACGGATCACAGAAACAAACGTCGTTTAACTGGTAGGTAGCAGGGTTGGGAAAGAAACAGGTTTACGGCATTCCTCTCCCTCCTGGGATCTCTCTTTGTTTGGTCTCCGGCGCCATTCTGATGGTAGTGGTTCAGTCTTCATGGGCTGGGCTAGGGAATTCACAATGTGTGGACGCCTGTGACAGCGATTCAGTCACTGATGGCAGGAACATGGGTCAGGTGCAGAGCAACACGTCTTACCAGCTCCTCTGGAAACACACTGATAAACTTATCCTCCAAGTAAACAAGTGTGAAATGGCTTGACATATGGAAGAGAATGTGGCTTTGGAGCCAAGCAGGCCTGGAGGGAAGTCTCACCTCTATTTAATACAAACTGCCTGACCTTGGTCAAGTCATTTATTCTTTATAAGCTTCAGTGTAATCGTTTTTGCAGGGTTATAATAATACTTCTTCTTGGGCTTTATTAGAGGTACTAATGTGCATATTGCTGGCAGAGAAATTGGCACACAGTAGGTGATCAATAAGGGGAGCTATTATTATTAGTTATTACATTGAATTAGACTAATTTGGCAGGGATGATATATTCAGAGGGCAACGCAGAGGGAATATAAAAGGATAGAAACATTGCACAGTTCTTTAAAACATCAACCCATGCCTCTGTTTTGCATTCACTTCGTCCCCATCCTCTAAAGGAGTTTGTGCTCCCTGAAACCAAACCACCTCTCTGTGGATCTTTGTCTTTTCCAGTGAGCTCCTTATACAGTTTTATGTGGTCTTAAGAAACCAATTTTTATCATCAAATATAAATTTAAAAATTTGAAATTTTGATCTTACGGTAGAGCATTTCAACATTTAATAGAGAATTTTGTTGCTTTTATTGTTATTCATCAGTGGATGTCAAAACAGGTCTGAGATACATTAAGACTTTTGTTCGTACTTGTCTGTGAAACGGATTGCCAACATTTTTCTAAAATAGTCTGTCTTTCCAGTGTTAACAATGAATAATATTAGCAACAGATAAAGCAATGCACAGGGATCATCAGACAAAATGTTTTAAGAAAATTTATATTAAAATCATTAAATGAAAAAAATATGAGCTAGGTACATGTAGCTATCCAAGGCAGTTAGTTTCTCTCCCCAATTATATTAATATTACAAACCACTCAGGCCTATTTTGGATTAAGTCCAAATGTCAGAGAATAATGCAGTTTTACCAAAGGTAGAAGGAACTCTTCTTTATAGCAAATTCTGCCTCCTTGACCTGCCCAAAGGAGAAAAAAAAAAATCATTTTTTTAATTCTATTCGGAAGTTTTAATCCTTAATTAGCAACATCATTTTGATTAAATAAGACTCTGGAGGATTAAGAGTGGAGAGCAATCAGTTGTTCTGAAAGATAGCTCTGGAGAATTTATTGTACTATGGTCTTAGTCATTGAGTTGTGTTTAATCAAAGTGACATTTCTCACTGTTGATTACAAAGGAGACATTATATGAATGAAATATTTCCTTTGGGAAATGGAGGGGACTCCCAATGGGTTTGTGCTTTAGGACTTTGTAAAGGGGGGGGGGGGATGGGATAAAAATGAATTTCTGCAGCTGTGAGGAGCCAGACCAAATTTAGGATGAACACACTTCAATTTGATTACCTAATATTTCCTAATTTCATTAAAATCGCTAATAAAAAGAACCAGGCAGTATTTTTAAAACCTAAAGTTAAAGCACCTAGAAACGTGTAGGAAGAATCAGGGTGTTATTCGTTACTGTGGAAAAGGATTCTTTGAGTAATAAGCTCTTTAAAGCTGAATCTTGTTTCTGCTTTTTTAAAAAGAAAATTGCAGTTTAAACCCCAAACTACAGGATTATTTTGAGCAACAGCTGCTGGTTTCAGTTTATGGAAACGAACGTTAACTATTTCTGTACATACTGCAGGGTTTGGTGGCAAGACCGACAGGGACCCCACTGGGCAGCCAGACAGCTGCCTGGCTCTGTCACTTAGGAGTTTCATAGTTTCAGCAAGTTCCTTAACCACTCAGAGACTCGGGTCTCTCATGCACAAAATGAGAATACCTTGAAGGGCTATTGTACAGCTTACATGCAAAGTATCCTAGCACATTATAGGTATTCAAATCAGGACGGCTATTACTATTATTATTAAATGACAGATAAGTCACCAGCTAAAATCATCTAAATTCTGGAAAAGAGGGAAGCCATTGAAGAGGAGGCTATCTTTCAAAGGGGCAGCCCATTCACTTATCATCTATTTCTCCGATAAAAAAATGCCTTTAGAAATTATAAGCCTGGTTAATGTAACCAGTGTCGGTGGTATATTTAAAAAAACATACCACTTGATCTATAACCCCTTGAAGGCTGCTTCCAGCTCTGTTTTCAGCACAGATGTCAGATGTTCACAGTTACAGGACCTTTAATGAGTGTGTCATTGTATCTCCACCACCTAAAACTTCCTGGTGATCGTGTTAAATGGTGTAGATTAGAAGTTTCAGGCGTTGAAAGCACCACTTCCAAGTAGAGCTGCCAAATGCAGGTGAGTAAAACCACCCCAGCCAACATCACCATCTGGTACTGGATCTTCCTCCACTGTGCACCTCGCTGAAAGAATGACAGGAACCTCCATAAAATTGAGAGGCATAATAATCTGCCAACATCCTTGCTCCATTATCCAGAGCAGAACCTAGCTCTTCCAGCTAAAATCTGAGGTGTACAATTAACAGTCACCACACTGGAGATCATCTAGGTAAATACACCTGTGCAGAATCTGTTTGTAATTGGATTTATCGGTGTGACATAGGTTAATAAAAGTATATAGGTTTCAGGTGTATAATTACATAATCCATCACCTGTATATTGTATTGTATGTTCACATCTCAAATCAAGTTTCCTTCTATCACCATGTATCCCTCCTTTACCCTCTTCTACCTCCCCCCACCCCCTTGCCCTTTAGTAATCACCATACTACTGTCTGTCTATGAGGGTTTTCTTTTCTTTTCTTTTTTTTTTTTTGCTTCATCCCTTTACCTTTTCACCCAGCCCCACTCCCCTCTGACAGCTGTCTGTCTGTTCTCTCTGAGACTGGTTCTATTTTGTGTGGCAGAGTCTTTGCTGGAAGCAAAAAGAAGGTGGATAATTAAGTTTTCTGGTGACCATCATTTTAAATTCTCCCACAATTAACCTCAATCCTTGCCTCCACATTTCTCTACGTACTTCACCTGATCATTTACATTGCATCTGCACATCATAGTCTGTTGCTAACTAGTTACCAGAGTGAATTATACATGATTTAAAGGGCCAAATATAATATTGGTAAAGTTCTTGAAAAAGTCTAGAGACTTACTCTATTCCAGAAATTTTGAGCATCTAGTATTCAAATTGACCCTTCATGACATCTGTCTCATGTTAAAATGTTCTGATTTTAATGCTTACTCAAATGTAGTATCTCTTATCTTAGGGAAACACTAGGGGTAAAATTGTATTATCCCACAGCATTTTGCCAGAATATTTTAAAGTTCACTTGAGTGTTGTCTCAGAGCCTCACCCCAACCTCCTAAATGAGAATTTTCTAGAAGCATTGCTAAGAAATGCAGTTTTAGCAAGTGCTTCAGGATTTTGAAAACAGTTCCAGAGACATACGGAATGGGGGATTCCAAATGTAGTCTAGAGATGTCTTTGAAGAGAAATGGAACTACACATTGACTGAACACACCTAATGTGTGGCAGACTGGTCTGGAAATTTTGATGATTCATAGTAATTTTTTACATTTTGAAATCCACCTGATTCGGAAGTTCTACATAATCCTTGAAAAAAGAAACAAAATATGAATCTGCATATATTCTGCAATCATGAAGTTGTAATTTATAAGGTACATTTCAGCCAACAAAATTAAAGCAGTCCATGGAATAATCTTATATACTCATTAATACTCAAAATACCCTCTCAGTTGCATAATGAGGAAGAGCCTATAAATAGCTTTAAAGAAAATCACTAGACCTTCCAAAATTCTATGTGCATGGGCTCTAGCCAAGTTTAACAAATGTTTCTCACTCACCCTAATAGCAACAGGCACTTTCTTCTTTACCTCTGCCAAAATTGTTAGCTCTCGGGAAATACACTCAGAATTTCTCTCCAGCATGTAACTGTAGAAACCAAAGAATATGGAAGGGGGTGGGGAGACAAATTTCTTATATTTCTTTTTGCTCCTGCTGCCTCCTGCTTTGTCTTAAGCTCTGCTTGGTGGTTTTTAAGTTTGGTAGATGCATAAGTACAGACTTGGGTTCATCAGTAAACATGAGTTGGTTCAAAAGTCTTAAACTCAGAAAATGAGAAAATTATATATATATATATATATATATATATATATATATATATATATATATACAACTGTTCAAATTGGTATGGTGGCACACCTGTGTTGATTGCAGCATTATTTATAGTAGCCAAGAGCTGGAACAGCCCAAGTGTCCATCAGTAGATGAGTGGATATAAAAGCTGTGGTACATGTACACAATGGAATACCACTGGGCTGTTAAGAAAGAAAGAAAAAGAAATATTCCCTTTTGCAACAGCATGGATTGACTTGGAAATTACTATGCTAAGTGAAATAAGCCAGTCAGAGAAAGACAAATACAAATATGATCTCACGTATATGTGGAATCTAACGAACAAAATAAACTGATGAACAGAATAGAACCAGAGGCATGGATACATGGAACAGACTGACAGCTGTCAGAGAGGAGAGTGGTAGGGGGCTGGATCAAAGAAGATGATTGGATTAAGCGAAAAATCTTGTACGTAGAGCCCATGGACACAGACAACAGTGTGGTGTTAGCCAGTTGGAAAGGGGGGTGAGGGGATAAAGTGGAGGTGGGCAAAGGGGGAGAAAATGGGAACAGAAAGAGACTTTTGCATGGGGTGAGGAGGGCACAAAGTAGTCTGTAGAAGATGTTTTGTTGAGTTGTACACTTAAAACCTGTATGGTTTTGTGAACCAATGTCACTCCAATAAATTCAATTTAAAAAG